TATATTAATTACAAAACTTACTAAAATAAAAATCTTATAGTCTAACTTGGTGCTCACATATCATCATCATCAACAGCCTATAAATGCCCACTGCTGAGCAAAGGCCTCTTCTCACACGGAGTAGGTTTGAGCATTAATCACCACGCTTGTTCAATGCGAGTTGGCGATTACAAACTTATAATTGGAAATTATAAGCCCAGGTTTCCTCACGATGTTTTCTTTCATCGTTTGTCAGTGGTGTCTAAATAATCTTAGAAAGTAAATATAACTCGGAAATAGTCACATTGGTACTTGCCGTTGGAAGGTTTTGTTCCCGCGCACTCGTGCATGAGAAGCGGGCGTCTTAAAATGCGATAGATTAAAATACACTTCTTAGGCCACCTACTCCTCCTGCGGGTGTCATTCCACCGACAAACGGATTATGTTGCTAAGGAGTGAAATTCTGTGCACACACCTGCATACTTCATGGCGGAATGGCAGCAACGACTGTCGCAACCGAGGGCTGGGCTCGCTGCCATCGCAGCGGTAAGTCCCCTCTTTGAGGAGTGGCTTGAGAGACGCTACGGCGTCCTCACCTACCGCCTGACGCAGGTCCTCACCGGACATGGCAGTTTCGGGAGGTACCTGTGTCTGATGGGGCGGGAGGAAACGCCCGGGTGTCATCACTGCGAGGACCGCCCTGAGGACACGGTGGAACACACGGTGGGAGAATGCCCTTCGTGGGCTGAGCACCGCCGTGTCCTCAGGGAAGTGATCGGCGATGGCGACCTCTCGCGTCCGGGCCTAGTGCAGGCCATGATGCGGAGCGAGGGGGATTGGGATGCCGTCTCCTCCTTTTGCGAAGCAGTCATGCTAGCTAAGGAGGAGGCGGGACGCGTGAGGCAGCGAAGCGCTGCCTCCTCGCAACCCAGCCATCGCGAAGGACACACCGGGCGTCGGGGATCGCGGGACGATCTCCGGCCACCGTAAGCGCGGGCCTGCGGACGGCGAGCATGGGTGGCTCCCCGTCCGACCAGAAACAGACCCGAGCGTACGGCGCGTCGCGTTCCGCGCGCGCCTCAAAGAGCCATCAGACCACCACAGATGGGGCCCAATAGGGCCGATGCCGATTCGGAGTCGCGGAGAACCTAACGGGTAACCGGGGCTCCGGCTCGACGTGCAGGAGAAGGAACGGGGTGGTTTTTAGTCAGTAAGAGTCTGACACTCCCTCCCGCCTCACCCAGGCGGGGGCAGTCATTCGACGATTTTCCCCCCTTAAAAAAAAAAAAAAAAACACCTGCATACTTTTTTTTAAGGGGAGATAATCATCGAATGACTGCTCCCGCCTGGGTGAGGCGGGAGGGAGTGTCAGACTCTTACTGACTAAAAACCACCCCGTTCCTTCTCCTGCACGTCGAGCCGGAGCCCCGGTTACCCGTTAGGTTCTCCGCAACACACACACATATGCATACTGACAATCCATAAAAACCTCTTGAAACCACTCACTCGGCCATTGAGCCAGCCAATTAGTCCAATAGAAACAAACCTTCACATTGTATTCCAATTTTAAAATATAATATTCTGAGAAACATTACAAATAATAGATACCTTCGAGCGATTTAATGAACCATACAATTTTCAACCTAATAATATCTGAAATACAGTATAAAATGAAACTAGAATTACAAAGCTAATATAAAGACGATGAAATATAAACTTAAATTGTTTAAAGTCAAGGTTCATTTTACATTGTCGGTAATTATTTTAGCCATGTTTCATTCAAATAATTATACGCAGATGTACAATGAGGTCGTATATCAGACGATTTTTTTTTAAGAGATAAAAATCATCTATTGACTTCTCAATTCTTCAAATTGGTCTCATATGAACTGAACCCAGAAAGCTATGGAACTAAAGAATTGAAGTACTTGCCAACTAGTCAAATTCAATACATTTTTCGATCTGTCAAAATGAGAGTGTTCTATGAATTTTGTACGAGATTGTGTATTGTGACGTCACGTTTTTTAACGTCGAACAGCGCACTTATTTCTCAAAAATTTGCTGGAAAAATACTAAAATTAAGTTGGTCATAAAATCAATAAATGAAAGTGTGATTATTTTTTAATATTTCATTGTATTAAACAGTCGAAATAATTTATTTTAAATTAAGGAAAATACCCAATTGTATTGTGAACATGATTGAAAAAGAGTAACCTATGGAGTTTCTTGCTCGTTCTTCTACATAAGAATCTACACCTTTGAATGAGCAAATAGCTTCAATTTTATTTATTTGTTGACATTGAAAAGTGCCTTTCTGGTCTAATTGAAACAAATGATTTTGATTTTTGATTTAACTCCGGCGTTGCATGAGATTGGAGGGAGTGTCAGACTCTTACTGACTAAGTACTACCCCGTTTCTACCCTTTCTTTGAGCCGGAGCCCTGGTAACCCACTAGGTTGTGAACTCCGGCCACAATAATTTAGCAATCGCTGTTTAAAAGGTTTAGGTTTATCATAGAGCGCTGTTGTCTGGTATCTGTCAAATTTGTAGTCTCTTAGTCGGGTGTACGATACCCGCGGGAAGAGTGGGGGGGTGGTGTTTCAAAATTAGTATATTTACTCTAAAGCAATTTTTTTTAATGTTTGGTAGGCCGACGTTTGACCACTGTCCCAACTGGTGGTAAGCGATGATGACGTAGACCGCTACGATGGAGTACGTCGTCCCATAAGAAACCTATTCACTCGGGCCTTGAACACCCATATTTATTTATTTATTCTTTACCATAACATAACATAACATCACGCCTTTTATCCCCTAACCAAGGGGTAGGCAGAGGTGCACATTATACCACTGTACCAACAATGTAACACCCACTTTTCACTATTTATGTTATGAGTCCCATGTAATAGGGGGTGAGCCTATTACCGTATACCGGGCACAATTCCAGACTCCGTGCTACTATTGAAAAAACCCAGTAATACTTTGCCCGTCCCAGGAATCGAACCCGAGACCCTTGCCCAGCAGTTGCACTTACGACCACTCGGCCAACGAGGCAGTCAACTTTAAAATACATGAGACCATAAAATACTCGTTTAAGAGGTCGTTACATTAAAATATGATATCTTGTCGTTACAACTATGTATCTTAAGTACCTACCATTAAGCATATAATGGCTTGCAAACAGCTTGCTACATCTCATAAAGATATCAGCGTACGTGTGTCACTGGACAGTGAACCTCTCTACCATCAGTTTACTGGACATCTACACTACACGAGTCACTGTTTACATGTGAACATTAGCTCATGACGATACCAGCGTACGTGTGTCACTGGACAGTGAACCTCGCTACCATCAGTTGACTGGACATCTACACTACACGAGTCACTGTTTACATGTGAACATTAGCTCATGACGATACCAGCGTACGTGTGTCACTGGACAGTGAACCTCGCTACCATCAGTTGACTGGACATCTACACTACACGAGTCACTGTTTACATGTGAACATTAGCTCATGACGATACCAGCGTACGTGTGTCACTGGACAGTGAACCTCGCTACCATCAGTTGACTGGACATCTACACTACACGAGTCACTGTTTACATGTGAACATTAGCTCATGACGATACCAGCGTACGTGTGTCACTGGACAGTGAACCTCGCTACCATCAGTTGACTGGACATCTACACTACACGAGTCACTGTTTACATGTGAACATTAGCTCATGGTGATACCAGCGTACGTGTGTCACTGGACAGTGAACCTCGCTACCATCAGTTGACTGGACATCTACACTACACGAGTCACTGTTTACATGTGAACATTAGCTCATGGTGATACCAGCGTACGTGTGTCACTGGACAGTGAACCTCGCTACCATCAGTTGACTGGACATCTACACTACACGAGTCACTGTTTACATGTGAACATTAGCTCATGGTGATACCAGCGTACGTGTGTCACTGGACAGTGAACCTCGCTACCATCAGTTGACTGGACATCTACACTACACGAGTCACTGTTTACATGTGAACATTAGCTCATGACGATACAAGCGTACGTGTGTCACTGGACAGTGAACCTCGCAGCACTAAGTTTTAAAAGAACTACTTCGGCGTAGCTATCGTAGCTGCTACGCGTACTACAAAACCGTAGCAAAATTATTTTTGGAAACTACCACTGAAAACAGTAGTAGTATGAATGAACATACGTTCAGAAGTAGACGTCAAAGTCAAAGCATTTATTTCAATTAATCCTTGCACAACTTGATTCCCCCTAGTCCTTTCCATCATCGTACCACTAGACAATCAGCAAAGCGTCACCGATTTATGGTAGATGACCCACCCACACGCACGAAGCGCTCCGCTTTAAGCTTCCTTGTGCGTACTGCTAAGGCATGGAATTCTTTGCCAGAGTCTGTGTTTCCTGAAAGGTATAACCTGGGTGTCTTTAAGGCCCGAATGAATAGGTTGCTTATGGGACGACGTGCTCCATCGTAGACCGTATCATCGTTTACCACCAGGCGAGATTGTGGTCAAACGTCGGCCCATCAAATAGATATATAAAAACCCTCAATTAGGCAAAATACATACATATATAACTTCACGCCTGTCTCCCATGGGGGCAGGCAGAGACTATGGATCGCCAATTACTATGATTCCTACATACCTCTTCATCAACAGTCATCAATCTTTTCATGCGTGCTCATCGGTTAAGGGTACTTTTAATTTGGCCCTTCTTTAATATATCGCCAATCTGGTCACTATATGCCCGGCTAGGGCACCCTTTACCGACGGCCTCATACATATCCGCTTTGTATACTTCTTTCGTTACTCTACTTTCATTCGTCCTTTCTACATGTCCAAACCAGGGTAACATCAAAATTATGGCAAAATTGAAACGTCACAAATATATGTGTCCATCCTTCTGTCTGCCAGTGAAGCTAGGCGCTCGTTTATAGTGTCTTGTAACTGATATCATGAGACCAGTATAAAAATATTTTTATTTTTCGTTTCAGATCACACAAACTGAAGTCCTTCTGGTTCAGCATATCAGACGAATCGCTGCCAGCCTTAGACTTCTTATCAGCGGCTCTGTTATCTGCCGAGTATGAGAGGGCACTGGGCAGAGCGCTGGCTATGCCTGAGTGCCGACTAATACCTTTTTTTGGGGCCTTTTTACGGGAACTAAGGTGAGATTTTTATTTTATAGCATGTACCGGTAAACGAGCAGACGGATCACCTGATGGTAAGCAACCGGCGTCGCCCATGTACACCTGGAACACCAGGGGCGTTACCAGTGCGTTACCGGCCGTACCGTAGATTAGGAGTTTGAGGATCGTTGGGGATTCAAGGATTGGGGAGATTGGGAAAGGTAAGTGGGGTAATTGGGCCTCCGGTAACCTCACTCACACGGCGAAACACAACGCAAGCGTTGCTTTACGTCGGTTTTCTGCTCGTCCGTGTTATCACTCCGGTCGAGCCGAGCCATTCGTGCCGAAGCATGGCTCTCCCACACTACAACCCTTTATGCATACGAATACAACCATCACGCCTTTTATCACCGAAGGGGTAGGCAGAGGTACACAGACACAGTGCACACACACTTGCGACCACTCGGCCAACGAGGCATTCAACACAAAATACATAAAATATAATTAAATGTATTTCTTGCAAAACATTAATGGTGTTGATAAATATTAAAATCGAAAAACTAAAACAAGATTATTGCCTTATTCAAAAACGAAAGCTGAAACTTCATAAACAAAAACATTTGATCACTCCATCCATTAGACAGTAGACGTAAGTTATCTAAAAAACCGTTCTGGTAATTGGCCATTTTCAGCAATAACAAGTTAATATAATAACTGAAAAACTGAAACAGATTAATAATAAAATTTCATTTGACTTCATGAATTAATTACTGAATTGGTTTCGCATAACCTATTTTTAAATTACTAATTAAATATGAATATTATATAGAGTTGATAATACCTCTAGTAACGTCAATGTAATCATAAGATTTATTTCTCTCGACTTGATTTTTTTTAGGGGGTAAAATCATGGAATGACTTCCGCCTAGGTGAGGCGGGAGGGAGCGTCAGACTCTTACTGACTAAAAACGACCCCGTTCCTTCTCCTGCACTACGAGCCGCCCCGGTAACGCGTTAAGTTCTCCGAGGCTCCGTATCGGCATCAGACCTATTGGGCCCCATCCGTGGTGGTCTGATAGCTCTTTGAGGCGCGCGCGAAACGCGACGCGCCGTACGCTCGGGTCTCTCGACTTGGTTGGTGCAATAACTTACGCCTGAATACTGAATCGCTCCTTAATTCAAGTTGTAATTCAATATCGTGCCATCTCTGTCATTTTATAAAGAATTTGTAGTGACAGAACTATAGTTAAGCTCGATTTAAAATTGACATTTGAGTAATTCGATATGGGTAACTTAGATTCGATTTCCGTTAATTTCAAATTGAGTTCGATTCAACTCTATAACTGTGTCACGAATTATTGTTCTAATATGTGTATTCTGTGGATATGAATTTGTATGTTTGTAAACGCACCTACGATACCAGCAAAAATGGGGATACATTTTTAAAATTACGTTTATTACATAACTTCTATTGCATGTCTATCAAAAACCTAAATGGATTCACATATTTTAAATTACAGTTGGTTGTCGAGAATTATAGGGATTCGGGGATTGGGGAGATTGGGGAAGGGACGAAAGAGCTGGGCCTCCGGTAACCTCACTCACACGGCGTTAACTTACTTGGAAAGATCACCAAGAACTTTATCCAGAGTGACCTTTAGGTCCTTATGCAAGTGGTAAGAAAGGTCAACTCTTTCTCCAAATCATTTAGTGGTATTATCAACTCTATATAAATGTGAATCGTCCTCATTTCGCTTCATTGGCAGTGTGTGTTGTTTTTTAATTATACAAGCTACCGAAATGGTTTCTACAAACGTATAAATATAACATTACACAATATCACGCCTTTTTATCCGCGAAAGGTAGACAGAGGTGCACATTACGGCACTTAATGCCACTGTACAATGTAACAACCCACTTTTCACTATTTGTGACATGAGTCCACTCATATCCGGATAATAAAACTACATAACATTATTTACTCAATTTGACGTTGGAGTTCGAGAATTTTAGGTGCATATTATTTTGTGTCTGTAGTTTTTGTTATCACTTAGTAATTAAATGTTGGTTAACCTATAATTGGCGACTGTATAAGCCTAATACATTGTTACTTTCATAATCTCTTAATACTATGTATACAGAAGCTGTTGGTATACCTATTTAAATAAATAAATAAAATTATTATTATTACCATTTATTTCAATCAATTACATAGATCATTAATTACACATTACAAACCATAATACAATATAAAAGTCACAGTCACATATCAAAAATCACAATCACAAGTCAGTCATCACTAAAATAATCTCCCAACTCAAAACAATAATTTCACATTAGCCAGTACATGAACCATACAACAGTGGTTCATGTACTGACAGTCAAAACGTTCAGCAAAGGCGCTCAGGATACTATTGCGGCTGCCCCGCACCCTGTTCACTAATGACGTGCACCGCTTGCGCGTGATTGTGTTGAAGCAGTCTACCCGTGCGCTGGCAAACATACCCGATGCGCTACATATATCTGCCTCGTTGGCCGAGTGGTCGCAAATGCGACTGCCAGGCAAGGGGTTTCCGGTTCGATTCCCTGCCTACCCCTTTGGGGATAAAAAGGCGTGATGTCATGTTATATATCGAAGATTATTTTTTGTACAGATACGTAGCTAGTGAGCTAAGACTGTGTGAAACAGTGGAGTGATACGTGCATGATGTTAATAAAATACTTCTATATTTTTCCTCAGAGAAATCCTCGCAGCGTCTCCCTCTCTAACGGGCAGTCACTCAGTAGGAGGGACGCCGACACACAGAAGGGAGTTCAAACGAGATTCTATGAAAGATGACAGGTAAACATAAGAATGTACATAACAATTATATTCATACCAGGGTTCTTACTCTTGAAACTAATCGCAATGTCAATTGTCTGAACTTTAAAAGAGACAGACCTCTGAGTTTGTTTCGGCATTTCTTCTCAGAGTAGTCAGTTAGGAATTGTCGTCCTCAGCGTTCGCTTGATAAAATTGACGTGTAAAATTGCTGCCTTGTAGCCTATTTGCAGAAATAAATTCACTTGTTTCACAAATACAATTTTAATCCAATAAAATCTCAATAACTCATATTCAATGTCAAAACTATACAACCACAATCGTAGCTGTTACAATAGCATTCAGAGTACAGAATATAAAGTCAAACTCAATACCCTTTAGTTCATTCAATATCCACGCAATACGGATGTAATGTGCGCTAGTGTTGCAACTCGAGAGTAGGAAATACTTTCACATACTTTCACAATACCAAAGTCGAACGATCGGAATTGGAAAGAAAAATTTTGTCACCATCACTCTTCCCGTGGGTGTCGTAGGTATACCCGACTAAGGGACTACACCATTTGACATAGAACTGGGCAGCAGTACTCCCTGATAGACCTGAATTTTATTAATTGCGATCACCAACCCGCCTGACAAAGAGGAAGCTATAATCCAGGTATGGACTGTCATCAGGACCATCTTAGACTACGCTAGGGCTCCAAGTCTCCGGCTAAGCGTGATGATTAAGGCCTCATAAAAACGAAGTCATTTTTAAAAGTAGAAATATTCCAGCTGGTAACGAGGATACAGCACATTAACTCGTCGAGTACCGTCATTATAGACACAATTAATTATAGAACAATAGGTTGCGGTCACCAGTGACCGCTTGGTGTTTGACAGTTTAATCTAACAATCTTCTATCTCTTTCACCAGAGGGTCATTAAAAAGGGACACAAGAAGAGAGAGTGGGAAACGAATGGACCAGAGCACAACTACAAGCCCTCTGAGGGACAGTTGCAAGAGGGACTCAAGATTAACAGACTCAAATAAACAAGTGGTAAGTTATCTTATTACTGCTGGAATAACGTTTAAAATTAACTGTCGTGTGCTGGGGTAAAGATGAACAAATATATTTTTTTTATGGTATAAGCTGGTAAACGAGCAGTCGGATCACCTGATGGTAAGCAATCGGCGTCGCCCATGGTACACCAGAACCGTTGCAAGTGAGTTACCAACCTATTGGGATTAGGAATTTGAGGATTGTTGGTGATTCTCGGATTGGGGAAGGGTTGGGGGGTGGGGGGTAATTGGGCCTTCTGTAACCTCAGTCACACGACAAAACACAACGCAAGCGTTGTTTCACGTCGGTCTTCTGCTCGGCCGTGGTATCACTCCGGTTAAGCCGGCCGATTCGTACCTAAGCATGGCTCTCTCACACGTATACTTATATATTTCATGTGATCACAAGAATGACTGTTAACGGAAATCACAAATTACCGACACGCCTTCTATGGTTTAAATCTCCCGATACGGAGCCACAGATGGCCTAACAGGTTGCCGGGGAACGAGATGGTTTTAGTCAGTAAGAGTCTGCCACTCCCTCCAGCCTCACCAGGGCGGGAGAAGCCATTGTATGATTTTCCTACCTCAATAAATAAATCTCACGAAATAGATCACTTATTGCCGCAAACTGTTATGCGAGGAGTTTCTAGTTTGATTCCAGAGTCAGACAAATTATTATTATAATTTTGGACTTCATAAAAATTCATCACTGAGTCTGAAAAAAGGCTCGCTTCCTATCTGATTGTGCTCCTCTGTCTACCCTTAATAAAAATATCATCATAATCTGGTTCCAGTACATAGCCTCATTTGACGAGGAAGGGGAGCAGACCCCAGGCTGGCGGCGAGTAGGACCCGAAGGTCTGGTCAATCTGGAAAAAGTGTACCGGACACAGGCGGTGATGGACCACATAGCCAGCTTCCACCAGCATCATTACGCGTTAGCGAGAAGCAATGCACCCATTTTCGGTGATTTTCTGAGGTGATATTTTTTTGTTAAAACTTATTTTTTAATGTAAAACTAGTCTAAAATGCGAGTCAAACTTAAAATAACTCATATTGTACTTTGAACCTTTGACTAAACATAATTTGGATAATTACTGGGTATGAAAATTAAATATCTAATTAGTCCGTCAGTTAGGTAATGAAAAAATATTAGACACGTATTTTTTTATTTTGTCGTATAACAAAACAATACTTAGATAAAACGAATCAAAGTTTAAGAATGGGGGCTATAACGTCATTTCTACGTATAAAATGTACATAGAAGTGACGTCACGTGACATTTGAATTCAATATATCGCCGAAAGTATTCGTTTCTGTAAGAAAATAAAAAATACGTGTCTAATGATTTAAAATAATCTACCAGACGCACATTATAATTCCCTCATGGATCAGTTCCAAATGTGCTCCAAAGAAATAAATAAATAAATTCCTTTATATAATGCCGGGGTTTTTTTAACGTCTTCTGCTCGGCCGTGGTATCCTGGTCGAACCGGCCCGTTCGTGCCGAAGCATAGCTCTTCCACACTTATATTCTTAGTGCAATGATTGAGAAATTAGAAGAAAAATAGCAAGTATAGAAATCGAGAAACAGGTAGGCAGAAACCAGCCAGTTATGTTAGAAAGCTGAAAAAAACTGAAAAACCTCAAAGAGCAACCCATTATACCACCAGAATCACACCCTAACTCCAACTTCTATCCCTCAGAGCAGCAATGCTAACGTGCGAGGAGCCGGTCTTCTCGCATTCCACCTCCAAAACCAACGGGGACTTCGAGAACGAGGCCCTGTATGAGCTGGAAGGGACAGGGTACTGTCCCGTCCAGCCGTTACCACATGATCATGGTGTCACCATGTTTCCGTTGGCACCTCAAAATGGGGAACGAATGGATCGACATATTTTACAGGTGAGTTTCAAAATTGCATTTATTTTAATTACCCTACTTCAAAAAAAGAAAGGTTTTTATAATAACTGTCCTGAGACATACTAAATTAACTAAAAAAATCGCGGGTTTCTCACGTAAATAACATAACATTACGCCTTTTATCCCCGAAGAGGTAGGCAGAGGTGCACACAGAAGTGACACCCACTTTTCACTATTTATGTTATGAGTCCCATGAAATAGGGTGTGAGCCTATTGCCATATATCGGGCCAGTGCCGGATTAGCCACGTAGCAAGAGTAGCAAATGCTACGGGCCCCGCGGATTGGGGGGCCCCGCGCTCAAATAGGTATTTCGTAATTACACCACTTCAACAGCAAGACTTATGAAGAAAATGTTTTGTTTACAAAACTACTACCAACCTACAAGTAATTTGATATTCTTCTTAACGAAAAAAGACAAATAGTCGGTATTTTGTATGTGTAAGAAAAGGAAAGTTAGTATTCGTGCGCTTGGTTGGTGCCATTGGCGGGCGAACCAAGCTCGATTTAAACGAATTAAAAATGAGAAGGAAGACTATGGGCCAAGAACGTCTTAATCATCTCACAATATTGAATATAGAGCATGACTAGGAGGCAAACGAGCAGACGGATCACCTGATGGTAAGCGATCAGCGCCGCCCATGGACACCCGCAACACCAGAAGAGTCACAGGTGCGTCGCCGGCCTTTTAAAAAGGAGTACGCTCTTTTCTTGAAGGTTTGAAGGTCGTATCGGTTCGGAAATACCGCCGACGACAGATCATTCCACAGTTTTGCTGTGCGAGGCAGGAAGCTACGTGAGAACCGCACAGTTGTGGCCTGCCAACCATCTATATGATGGGGATGCATATGCTGTCGTGACGGTCGATGGCGAAAAGATGCGGCAGGTATCAGTTCAAACAATTCCTCAGAGCACTCCCCGTGGTATAAGCGGTAGAAAATGCACAAGGAAGTCTTGCATAAGGAAGTCGATATTGAAAGTGTAATCGCTAAATTTGCCCATAACAAATCCAGAAAAGTTTATTTGTAACAGTTTTGTTTTATGTAATACCCTAAATAACGACAATGACCAAATTTGTATGGAGCGTGGTGCCTTTTTATTTTTTCGCGGCAGTTTATTGGATGTGTAAAAACTGATGCAGAATAACATTACAAACAAAAAAATATATGGGGTCTTATATCAAAAACACAGTCCAAACCGAGTTAAATCAGTTCAAAGATGTGAAAATAGTGCTATATAATTCCTTTTATTTTGTTGATGTCGACCGTACACAACACAACGCATATTTCTTCATTTACTTGTCAGAAATATTTTGTATTAAATGTTTATAAACAATTTCAAGGAATATAGTAAAGCTTATAGTGGACTTCTTTATCTTTTTTTATAAGGCCACGGAATCATAACAGAGTCAAACATAAACTTTACTGGCCACTGCTCAAGTAAAAAAAAACCATTTTGCTTGCCTGGCTAGCGTGTTCACTTTATACCTACCTATGTATACGGTTTATGGCCTATGACAGATTTTCATGTAAGTTTCAATATCACGAAATGCTATGTTTGTCAGCTGCGGCGTCGGTAGCGAATTGAGCAGTGACAATCGTCAAAACACGAAAAAATATTTTTTCTGTCTACTTCTCCCGACTTACTCTCGATTAGTCACTAATTTAACTACAGTTAATACTCTTATCTACAGCTAGCATAAGATTCTGTACAAAGATATCGTCATTCAGTCACAAAGTGATGGATTATATTTCGACTGATCACATTATATGAAAAAAATTATACGCTCATCTGACGTAGGTATAAAAAAAACCGGTAGGTAAACCGTCGACTTTGTAAAGTGATACTTTACAAAGTCGACGGTTTCTTTTCTTCAAAAGATTATGCGAACTATAAAGTAGATGAGTCTCCCACCAGGAGTCAATGGCAAAACAAAATATACTTTATTAGATATTCGCACGGCTACCACCACTCAACCCACCACTGGTAACATAGCTGAGGCTCATGAAGCTTCATGACACAACTCCTAGAAGCATCCCACAAGTTATCGACTGAGAGAAAATAGGTAATAAAAATTTGTGCCTGGCAATATGAATATATTGTGGTGTGATATGGTGTTCCTGTGCCCGACATACAGTTGCGTGCAATTTAAAGTTGGGAATTGTGACAAAAATATGAATAATTTGAATAAAAAAACCAAAGTAAAATGTTTGACTTCAGCTCCTTTCAACGCTCATAACTCATAACTCCGTCCAGACTGAGATTTCCATACATGAGCCCATAGACAATTTCTTTTGTAATGTCATTTAAGATAATATTTTCCATAAATTATTGACTGCCGCCAGAAAAAAGAAAGGCACCAATTTTAGTCAATGCCCAAATGAGAACCGATAGCAAACCAAGGGCCCCTTGACAAAATTTGCTACAGGCCCCGCGCTTGCTTAATCCGGCACTGTATCGGGCACAATTCCAGACTCCGTGCTACTACTGAGATTTTTTAAAACCCAGAAATACTTTGCCCGTCCCGGAAATCGAACCCGAGACCCCTTGCCCGGCAGTCGCATTTGCAACCACTCGGCCAACGAGGCAGTCTAATTTAGGATTAATTGAAATAAATGCTTTGACTTTGACTTTGATACTAAAAATGTTGAATTTCAGATAATGCACCATGGTACGGCATGTGTAGTGACAGAAGCGGAGTGGGGAGGCACACTAGCACAGCTGCGGCTGGAACGAGCATGCGCACTGCTCGCCTGGTGCAGAACTGCGCATCAACCACATACGCAACATGGTAAGTGGTTCAAATAGAAAAATGAGAATTGGAATGATGACAGGGTATGAAAATTAAAAATATAATTAGTCCGTCAGTTAGGTAATGAAAAAATATTAGACACGTATTTTTTTATTTTGTCGTATAATAAAACAATACTTAGATAATACGAATCAAAGTTTAGGAGTGGGGGCTAAAACGTCGTTTCTACGTATAAAATGTACTTAGAAGTGACGTCACGCGACATTTCAAATCAATATATCGTCGAAAGTATTCGTTTCTGTTAGAAAATAAAAAATACGTGTCTAATGATTTAAAATAATCTACCAGACGGACATTAAAATAAAAATTAGGCATCTACCCTATTGTATACTACATTTCGCAGCAAAGAAATGGAGCCTCTAGCGTTTTAACATTTGTTTTATCGAACCATCTTTCACATAACATAACATAACATCACGCCTTTTATCCCCGAAGGGGTAGGCAGAGGGGTTTTCAAAAAAATCTCAGTAGTAGCACGGAGTCTGGAATTGTGCGCGGTATATGGCAATAGGCTCACCCCCTATTACATGGGACTCATAACATAAATAGTGAAAAGTGTAGGTACAGTGGCATTATGTGCCGTAATGTGTACCTACCCCTTCGAGGATAAAAGGCGTGATGTTTTGTTATGTAATATTTTTCACGATCCCTGATTCGAACGCGAGACCTCTAGTTCAAAATTTCTCCCTTGTAATCAACATCATAGTCGTAGTGGCCCGGAGGTTTAAGACGCCCGCTTCTCATGAATCAGGGTGCGAAACTTACCAACGGCAAATAACAATGTGACTTTTTCCGAGTTATATGTACTTTCTAAGATTATCTGGACACCACTGAGAAACGGTGAAGGAAAACATCGTGAAGAAACCTGGGCTTATAATTTCTAAATATAAGTTTGTAATCGCCAACCCGCATTGAACAAGCGTGGTGATTAATGCTCAAACCTTATCAGTGTGTGAAGAGGCTTTGCTCAACAATGGGCATTTATAGGCTGTTGATGATGATGACGATCAACATTAGCACTCAAACACTGTTTTTAATATTTCCAGGAGAAACCCCATCTGAAAACATGACCCAGCCTGAAGTGAGTCTATCATACAACCCTGAAGAAGTCATACCATTGAAATACACAGCCAATTTAGCGCACGAAAATGAAGCTGGAATCGTGGGCGAAGAAGGGTGAGAATATTTATTTAATATGATTTTATATTTTACTAGCAGCCCGTCCCGGCTTCGCACGGGGTAGACAATTATTTATTTTTGGAAATTTGGATTGTTGTAGTGACATAACTACAATAGTTGGACATATGCTACCGCAGAGATTTTGGTAGACATTATGATGTTCTTCAATATTGTTGTACATTATTTTGTTCTATCGCCAATAGTTTCGGCAGCGCATTCGACGAAAGACATTTTAAGACTCGTTTTTCTACACCTTCGGTTACATTGTTCAAATTTTACCAAGGAACCCTAATTTTTTTCAAAATGAAATGTAGCCTATGTCAAATTGGAAGAATGTAGCATTGTATTGGTGAAAGAATTTTTTAAATCGGCCCAGTACTTTCTGAGCCTATTCATTACAAACATACAAATATAGGTACAAATCTTTCCTCTTTATAATATTAGTATAGAAGTATAGATTTTTTTTTTAAGGGGGGAAAATCATCGAATGACTGCTCCCGCCTGGGTGAGGCGGAAGGGAGTGTCGGACTCTTACTGACTAAAAACCACCCCGTTCCTTCTCCTGCACGTCGAGCCGGAGCCCCGGTTACCCGTTAGGTTCTCCGCGACAGAAGTAGTATAGATTAGCCTCTGCCCGCTACTTCGTACGCGCAATTCCTCCGTAGGATTTTCAGGACTTTCTTCTTTCATAGGAACCTTCTCCTGACAATAATAAACACAACAAAAAATAAATCAGCCAAATCGGTCTAGCCGTTCTCAAGTTATGGCGTGACAACGGGAAACGGGTTTCATTTTTATATATAACTTTTATAACTGCCTCGTTGGCCTCGGGTCTCAGTTTCAATTCCCAGGTCGGACAAAGTAACACTGGGTTTTTTGAAAATTCTGAGTAGTAGCATGGAGTTTGGAATTGTGCCTGGTATATGGCAATATGCTCACCCCCTATTACATGGGACTCATAACATAAGTAGTGAAAAGTGGGTGTTCTCTACTCCTGCACTTCGAGCCGGAGTCCCGGCAACACATTAGGTTCTCCGCGGCTCCGTATCGGCATCAGCCCTATTGGGCACCATCCGTGGTGGTCTGATGGCTCTTAGAGGCGCGCAGAACGTGAAGCGCCGTACGCTCGGGTCTGGTTCTGATCGGACGGGGAGCCACCCATGCTCGCCGTCCGCAGGCCCGCGCTTACGGTAGCCGGAGATCGTCCCGCGATCCCCGACGCCCGGAGTTTCCGTCGTGATAGCTGGGTTGTGAGAAAGTAGCCTATGTATTATACCAGACTATAACCTACCTCTGTTACAAATTTCATCACGATATCTCCAGCCGTTTTGACGTGAAAGAGTATCAAACACACACAAATACATCCTTACAAACTTTCCATATATAATTTCTTTCATTTCAGATTCATAGACCTCCAATGCGTAAAAGACATGCGACTGGGTGGCAAGCTGTTGGAGCCTCGAGACGTGGCTGAACTGACAGCGTGTGCCAGGAGACATGGTCTGGAAACCTGCTCCCATGGACCTCACATTATCTCATTGGTCTACGGAAGGACGCTCAGTGATAACCGAACTGTACATTTTGTTTTACCAGCTTATTCATACAGGTGAGTCAATAATTGAGGGGTTTTAAAAAATGGCTTTGATATTTCAAAACTGGTCTTGTATTTGTAGTAGATGCCCGCGACTTCGTCCGCGTGGAATAGTGACTTTGGATAGTTCTTCACAACTCCTCTCCCGTAGGTGATAGCGTGATAATATGTAGCCTATATGTTGACGCGACCTGTTAGTAATAGTCTTGCAAAATTTAAAGGATATCTATGCCGTACTTTTAGAGTTTAGCCCGAACGAACATACATAGACTAATTAAAGAATCCAATATTTGCCAGAGGTCATTATCATACGCGGACGAAGTCGGAGGGAACATCTAGTCAATGATATAATTGGGATGTTGACAGGGTATGATAATTAAAAATCTAATTAGTCCGTCATTTAGGTAACGAAAAAATATTAGACACTTATTTTTTTATTTTGTCGTATAATAAAACAATACTTAGATAAAACGATTCAAAATTTAGGAGTGGGGGCTAAATCGTCGTTTCTACGTATAAAATGTACATAGAAGTGACGTCACGCGACATTTCAAATCAATATATCGTCGAAAGTATTCGTTTCTGTAAGAAAGTTAAAAATACGTGTCTATTGATTTAAAATAATCTACCAGACGGACATTAGAATCAAAATTAGGCATCTACCCTATTATTGTATCTAGTCAAATTATTCATACCCAATACTAAAAAATACCCAACATACACTTTCATCTAATTCTTTCAACCCCTCTCTTCCAGAGTATGGGCAGTAGGTCTCCACTCCGTGATCAGAGCACTCATGAGCCAAGCTAAGCTAGCCGACAGGAGTCTAGCGTGGCTAAAGAACAAATATACAGCATTGTACTATGAGGATGGGTGCTGCTGTGAGCCTTTAGTCTCGGATGCTATACGAGTAAGTATTGAAAAAGAGGCCTTACACATAATATCATAAGGTTCAGTATCTGGTTGACCGAGCTTTACATATATACATACATTAACAGTCTATAAATGCCCACTGCTGAGTGGTATTCTTTGCCAGAGTCTGTATTTCCTGAAAGGTATAACCTGGGTGTCTTCAAGGCCAGAGTGAATAGGTTGCTCATGGGCACCCGTGCTCCATCGTAGACCGCATCATTGCTTACCATCAGGCGATATAGAGGCCAAACGTCGACCCATCAAATATAAAGACCAAAGATGTTAAAATTCTAAATGTTTTATAATAACTGATATTCATTATTCTCATCCCCAGGTCTTTGGAGGAAGAGAGTCCACATGCGGCAGCTCGTCTCACTCTACTCCGGTCAAGGGTACCTACACTGACTCTCATTCTGACTCGCTTAGAGGATCTGGGATCAAATTTAAGGTAGGTTATCTTTTCACAAATTTTATTTTTCTGCGTCAATCACGATTCATCAAACACTGTGATGAATGAATGATAATGAATGATGTCAGATGCTAGTGGAGGGTTAGCCTTTAACTATTTTTATCGGCAGTTAAAGGCTTAACAAAAAAAAAAGACTACAATTAAAAAATATGTGACCTTTGACCTTGAAAATTAAACACTTACTTTTAGATTAATGTATAATTAAAAAATGACAGTATTTTCGTTTTGAACAAAAAACTATCAAACCGAATAATTCAACTATTCTTTCTACATAACATAACATTACGCCTTTTATCCCCGAAGGGGTAAGCAGAGGTGCACATAACAGCACTCAAGGGCACTACACAATGTAACATCTACTTTTCACTATTTATGTTATGAGTCCCATGTAATAGGGGGTGAGCCTATTGCCATATAACGGGCAAGTGAAACAAGTGAAACAAATGAATATATTTCTGCAAATAGGGCTACAAGGCACCACTTTTACACGTCAATTTTATCAAGCGAACGATGAGGTCGACATTTCCTAACTGACTACTCTGAGAAGAAATGCCGAAACAAACTCAGAGGTCTGTCTCTATTAAAGTCCAGACAATATGTATAACAGATTAAGTGTGAGAACCGCACATTTTCAGACTCCGTGCTACTACTGAGAATTTCTTAAAAATCCCAGTAATACTTTGCCCGACCCGGGAATCGAACCCGAGACCTCTTGCACTTGCGACCACTCAGCCAACGATGCAGTCTAACACTATTCTTTCTATTTTCAGAAAAACAAATCTACATCGGAATTGAAAACTAGTTCACCAAAGAGCTTCGTCTCCACTCATACGTCAGGGACCAGGAGCGAAGATGAGGTCATACAGGGATCTCCTAGACACAGGTACTTTATACACTATTACGCCTCAGGTTTTTTTTTTTTTTTTATGGAATATATAAGCCGGTAAACGAGCAGACGGATCACCTGATGGTAAGCAATCGGCGTCGCCCATGGACACCTAGAATACCAGAGGCGTTACAAGTGCGTCACCGGCTTTTTGGGGATTAGGAGTTTGAGGATCGTTGGGGATTCAGGGATTGGGGAGATTGGGGAAGGGGAAGGTAATTGGGCCTCCGGTAACCTCACTCACACGACGAAACACAACGCAAGCGTTGCTTCACGTCGGTTTTCTGTGAGGCCGTGGTATCACTCCGGTCGAGCCGGCCCATTCGTGCCGAAGCATGGCTCTCCCACACTTAACACACTTTTTTGGAATAAGCCGGTAAACGAGCAGATGGATCACCTGATGGTAAGCACTCGGCGTCGACCATGGACACCTGGAATATCAGAGGCGTTACAAGTACATTACCGGCCTTTTGGGGATTAGGAGTTTGAGGATTGTTGAGGATACAGGAATTGGGGAAGGGGAAGGTAATTGGGCCTCCGGTAACCTCACTCACACGACGAAACACAACGCAAGTGTTGCTTCACGTCGGTTTTCTGTGAGGCCGTGGTATCACTCCGGTCGAGCCGGCCCATTCGTGTCGAAGCATGGCTTTTCAACTAGTCAAATTCTATATAAATTCGAACTGTCCAAATCGACGGGTTCTGTGAATTTTGTACGATATTGTGTATTGTGACGTCAAACAGTATACTTATTTCTTAAAAAAATGCTGAAAAAATATTAAAATTAAGTAGGTCTTGACTCGTCGAGTACCGTCCCTATAGACACAATTATAGAACAAGAGGTTGCGGTCACCGGTGACCGCTTGGTGTTTGACAGTTTAAATCGATAAATGAAAGTGTGATTAGGTTTGAATATTTTATTGTATTGAACAGTCGAAATAATTTATTTTTGGTTAAGTAAAATACCCAATTCACTACAATTAGACTAAACAGAATCTTTAAAATGAAATCACTTCTTTCTTCCCCAGTTCCTATTCATCATCGATGAGCCACCACCACTCCTACGGTCCTCGACACAGCAGTCTGACAGCCGCTGCCACCAGCATCATGGCTGGATCTCCTAATAGGAGCAGGTGAGTTATTTTGACCTCCAAATTAATGAGAGTCTCGATAAAAATGACTGCACAGTTGATGGGGTGGCTGGAAACCGGCTGCCGCGCAACGTGTAGTGTGTTCGATTCCCGCGCGGAGCAACTCTTTGTGTGATCCACAAATTGTTGTTTCGGGTCTGTGTGTCATGTGTATGTGAAATTGTATGTTTGTAAACGCACTCACGACTTAGGTAAAAATCTTAGAGAGAGAAAACGTTTTTTAAAAAAATGTCTGAATAGTTGTGAAAATTATAGAAGTCGATTTATAGATGTCTAAATACTTGTGATAGAAACTCTGATAAAAATGGAAATTTGGTGCAAGTAACAAAAAAATTGACAAACAATGAAGGAAAACATCGTTAGGAAACCTGGGCTTATAATTTCTAATGACAAGTTTGTAATCGCCAACCTGCATTGAACAAGCGTAGTGATGAATGCTCAAACCTTTTCCGTGTGAGAAGAGGCTTTGCTCAGCAGTGGACACTTATAGGCTGTTGATGATGATGATGAATAAAAAAATTTGAAATCACATTAACAGTACATTATGAAACTATAAATTCAGCAACAATAACTGCTTTTTTGTACACAAAAAGAATTTTATGGTAATTATTATTATTACGATAATTTTTCATTTCAATTAGAACACATTTTATATAAAAAAATTAAGATTACTATGACAATTATCAATTTCAATATCATTATCAAAATTGTTTTACGATAACGATTTTTTAAATTAAATTTTACAGAATTACCTTAAAAAAGAATTATTAATACGAAAAGTAAATACGATTTCTTTTGTCGAACTGTCAAAAACGACAGTTTTCTATGAATTTTGTACGAGATTGTGTATTGTGACGTCACGTTGTTTTAGCGTCAAACAGTATACTTATTTCTTGAAAATTTGCTGAAAAATACTAAAATTAAGTTGGTGAAAAAATTAATTATTGAAAGTGTGATTATTTTTAAAAATTTTATTGTATTGAACAGTCGAAATAATTTATTTTATACTAAGAAAAATACCAAATGAAACTTAAAAAATAATTATCAATACGAAAAATAAATACGATCAATTCAACAATCTTCAGTTACTATAAAAACTCTCATTTTATGTAATATTTTGACCTTGATCCTTGTCATTTCGACCTTGACTTTAATTCGGATGACCTTGACTTCTGACATAATGACCTTATAGAGGGGGTGGTGACCCAGTTAGGGGTAACTGACCTTTTAACAGGATGCGTAAATATTTTGATTTTTTTTAGAAAAACATGTGCTTGTGTTTTGGTCACATGTTTTTTTTTACTTTTTAATACCGCAGTTATTTATTTCGATTTCGTATTTAAAGTACTAATAATATAATATTAGGGTATTTCCTAAATTGTTTTATAACGATACAAATTTAATTAGTATCGTTAAATGACTGCACGATTGGCGCGGTGGCTCGGCAACCGGCTGCCGCGCACCGTGTAGCGGGTTCGATTCCCGCACGGAGCAACTCTTTGTGTGATCCACAAATTGTTGTTTCGGGTCTAGGTGTCATGTGTATGTGATATTGTATGTTTGTAAACGCACCCACGACACAGGAGAAAATCCTAATGTGGAAAATCAACATCAATTATCAAAAATAATAGCCAAAAGCACTTTCTTTTTTTTCTGCTCCGTTTACCGGCTCATATAGCATGAGCCGGTAAACGAGCAAACGTATCACCTGATGGTAAGCAATCGGCGTCGCCCATAGACACCTGGAACACCAGAGGCGTTACAAGTGCGTTACCGGCCTTTTTGGGAATTAGGAGTTTGACGATCGTTGGGGATTCAGGGATTGGGGGAAGAGGAGGGTAATTGGGCCTCCGGCAACCTCACTCACGCGACAAAACATAACGCAAGCGTTGCTTCACGTCGGTTTTCTGCTCGGCCGTGGTATCACTCCGGTCGAGCCGGCCCATTCGTGCCGAAGCATGGCTCTCCCACACTTAGAATATTGAATCAAGATATATCATCTCTTTTTATAACCTTAATCCTCTTTTATGTTGCAGTTTAAGAAGGCTGGAGACCAGTGAAAGATTTTGGGAGAACCTGAAACATTTGAGGACAGGCTCCGTGGGGTACGACACGCAACTAGACTTCATGGACTTTGTCACGCTTTTCAGAAGTTTCAGGTAGTCTTTTAATTTACCAATTATTAACTGTTCAATCTCCAAATGGTCACCGGTGATCGGTCTCCACTAACTCCATTATAGACCTTATTTCCGATGTTTAAACAAACAAATCTTTTGTTTAAACAAATCTTGGGTATAATATATCAATGTATTCATAATTATTATTTTTTTTATTTATTTATTTATTTATTTCAGGCATCACAGGCCCATATCGAATACTATAAACTAATACATTAAAGATTTATAAATACTATACATACATTACAAACAAAATAATTACTCAATTAAGTACTTAATAACTAGGTCACACGAATAGACGGCGTCGTGTGTCGCACAGTGTCCGGTAGCCGACCTCGGAACCGTCGGAAGACTACCCCTCGCAGCCAAAACTCCTCTTTCATTAAGGTTGGCAGATGTTCAGTCGGCACCCTGACTACAAAAGACTTGAAGTCCACTCTGTGTAGCGAGTGCAGTTGCTCAACCTTCAGATGAAGCTTTGCCTTGATCTTGATGAACTCCACAATCTCCTCAACCTTTGTGGAGTCATGTAAGCGGGACACGTAGAGCAGCGTGACTGGTACAGCAGGTCGCAGTAGATAATTGTGTCCTGTCAATGCGGTACCGCACTGATTGCGGCAAGTAGGCTTCCTCTTCTTCTTTCTTTCGACTAGGGTAAAGCCTTCCTTGTCGTTCTGGTTCTTTTTAGGAACCTCCTGAATTTTGAAACATGTTATAAACTACCCTGGCGGTCGAGTGCTCGCTGACACGACTGCTGAGCAGGAGTTCTCGAGATCGATTTCTAGAATGGATAAAGTAGTTTTGATCAAAACTACTTTATACTTTACTTTACTTTAACTAATTTTGAAGTATTTTGAAAAAGAAGAAGAAAATGTATATAATATTTTGGGGTTCGAAATTTTTTTCAGTAAATAGATACTTAGTAGTACAAAGTTAAGAATTTTTATTCCCTAAAGGAGTGCTGTGACTCCCAACTCAACTGTGACGTCAACAGTAATGTTAAAGATCCTTCCATCATTCCCATGTAATAGGAGGTAATCCCATTACCATATTTTTATTTTAATTGTTTTATTTTTAGCCATGATCGTCCCACTGCAGGGCAAAGGCCTCCCTATCCTTCTTCCACTCCTCTCTTCTTAAAGCTTACTATATTAGAGGTACTTAGTACCATACAGCAGGCAAAATAATTCTTAGAAAGTACATATAACTCGGAAAATGTAACATTGGTAATTTGCCGTTGGTAGGTTTGGAGCTCACACCCTCATGCATGAGAAACGAGCAGTGGTTTATGTCCACCACATACATAACATAACATCATGCCTTTTATCCCCGAAGGAGTAGGCAGAGGTGCACATTATGCCACTGTACAATGTAACACCCCACTTTTCACTATTTATGTTATTAGTCCCATGTAATAGGAGGTGAGCCTATTGCCATATATCGGGCACTATTCCAAGCTCCATGCTACTACTGGGATTTTTTTTTTAAAAACCCAGATATACTTTGCCTGACCCGGGAATCGAACCCGAGACCCCTTGCCCGGCAGTCGCACCGGCACGCACGCGGCAGTTATGTCCACCAGACCAGTCTAAATATCATTTTGAATTTCTTTGTCCCCAGTTTGGTAATGCGATCGGAACTTCGCGATATTTTCGACCAATTAGCTGTGCCGAGGAATCGATCGCCATTGTTCGGAGCCGAGAAGAGCCGAAGTTCACCCGAATTGTTCCGAAGTCGAGGGATCTTTAGGACAGGTGAGAATTTATTATTGATAATGTACTCTATGTTTTATGAAGTTTAGGTATAGTTTTCAATGTAGCCTGCATGTTGTTTTAACATTGTCAAACTGAATCGGTTATAAACGATTTCTAATTATAATTTTAAGAACACAATTTGAGAAAATCGACTTTAAAACTGTTATATATTTTCAATTCATCTTTAAAAATTAGTTGCAAACATATAAGTTTAAATGTAATAACAAGCGTGTCTTTGCATTGTTCTCACATATGCGTACAGTATTGGAATATGTATAAGAGACATTGTAGAACATACATTTTAAAAAGTGTTACGAATGGAGTTTCTTTCTCGTTCTTCTTCATTCGAATCTACATTTTGGAATGAGCACCTAGCTTCACCTAGCTTCACTGTCGGACTGACTGGCAGACTATTATTTATTTTGTATTTTTTGACGTTTCAAAAGTTCCAAATGGTTTAATTGAAATAAATGCTTTGACTTTGACTTTGAATAAGTAAAAAAAAATTAATCCCTTTTTCTCTTAGTCACGGCATCACGCGTGAATGCGTGAATAATAATAATAATAATAATAATACCAATTTATTTCAGATAATAAAATCCATAAAATTACATTTAAAACGAATTCAGGTTCAGAATTTTATAAATAAATTAAAAAATAAAAAATTGTCTCTATAGCAAGTATCATAATAAATTAAAAATAATAAAAATAATAATCAATTCGTTCATACATCAAATAATCAAAATAATAAATTACACAAACACACAAAGAACATACATAGTCAATAGTCCATTTCAATTGTAAATAGTCAATTAATTATAAGTAGTCAGTTTCAATTATAAATAGTCAATACAATCCCAATATAAGTCAATAATAATATAAGTCAATAAAAATACTAGTCAATAGATAATAATACAAGTAAATAATATAGTTATGTCAATTATAAATATGAGGGACCGCTCGCGTGCAATCGCATCCACCTCATCAACATTGGTGAGTCCCACCGCTGGGACAATGTGCTCAGAATACCATTCGGGCTGCCACGCACACGCCTTAACAGCGAGGCGCACCTTTTCCTGATTATGGCGAAAAAATCATCAGTTTGCGCCTCAGCAAACATAGCGGAAGCACTACAAAAACGTGGCAGCCCCAATAATATCCTAAACGCATTGTTATACTGCACTCGCAGTGCACTGTACCCCCGCAGCGCAAAATTAGTCCACAAGCTGCACGTGTAAAAGGTCTGGCAGTACGCCTTGAATAATGTTATCTTTACTTGAGTAGTACAACGTGCAAACCTGCGAGCCAACATATTGCACCGGATGGACAGAGCCCTGCGTTCCCTCTCGATGTCCTCATTGTCACACAAGTCTTCAGTCACCCAGTGACCCAGATACTTAAAGGCACTAACCTTTTTTAGACGCATGCCGCACAGAGTTACATGAGGAACATGGGAGTAGCATTTGCTACGTGACTTGAACACCATGAACTCACTCTTATTCGCGTTGTATCTGAGCCCATGGGCTTCCGCGTATGATTGGCAGATGCACATCAATTTCCGTAACGCTGCAATCGATGGGCTCAGTAACACCATATCATCGGCGTAGCTTATGTTATTTATACTGACTCCGTCTATGGAACATCCGATACCAGTGTTACTGAGCTCACCGATGAGCCGGTTCATGTACAAATTAAAGAGATGAGGGGAGCTAATTCCCCCCTGCCTAACTCCGCATTCCAAACCGTATACATCAGAATGTGCACCAGCCCATCTCACTCTGTTGCGCTGATTGGCGTACCAGAACCTCAGCAATGAAATCACCTCCCGAGGTACCTCCGTGTCACTCTCCAGCTTCTGCCACAGCTTGTCGTAACACACCAAGTCAAAAGCTTTTGATAAATCAAGGTAACATGCATAGACAGGTGTGCCACGATCAGTATAATACTGAACAGTCTGCTTGAGGCAGAGGATAGCATCCTCAGTTGAAAGTCCTGGTCTAAACCCAAACTGGGCGTCGTGTAATTGTAGATGCTCTTCCAACTGTTTATCAAGCAAACTGTCCAGCACCTTTGCTATAACAGTAGCCAGAGAGATAGGTCTATAATTTGACAGATCCGATGAGTCACCTGTTTTATTCTTAAGGATCGGCACCACGGTAGTGTACATAAGTCTCTCGGGTAAGTAACTGTGACCAATACAGAGGCTGAAGAACATCGAGAGAACTCTAGGCAGGTGTATTCCCGCATACTTAAGGTGCTCGATGCTGAGATCATCGTGACCAGGAGACTTGCCCCTCACCATTTTATTAATAATATTAGCAATTGTCTTCGCATTACATCGTACACTAATTGCGGTGATGAGATTCTCAGCAGCGGGCACCCCAGACGCCGGCCCGAGCGGGGACTCAACCCTGAAATGCCGCCGGAACGCACAAGCTATATCATGGGGGTCATGCTCACCACCAACGCTAGCAGGAAGGCCCGACCCCGGGCTTAGCTTTTTAGTGTTTTTCCAAAAACTACTAAAGTCTTTATTAAAATGGTTTTCTGCTATAATATTCATTTTTATTTGTTTTTCATTTTTCTGACAAGAAGCCAACCTTGATTTAAACATTTTTCTGGATTCACACATCCTAATATATAAATCACCAGACTTTGGTTTCCCAGCGGACACCCACGTCTGAAAACAAAATCGAGCCCTCCTGTGAGCGTCACTGACATACCGGTTCCAGCCAGTAACATACCTATAGTTGTTACGTTTAGGCAAAGAATAGCTAGCTTTTGCAGCCCTCGTCAAAATATTAATTATCTTATTATACATGTCATCTAATAAAAATTTATGCTCGTCAATATTACACATACCGTCAGCACAACATTGAAATTCCGGGGGAAAGTCAATTAACTTTAATTTAGAATTACAAATACGATGATATTTGTCTATTTGATTTGTATTTCTTTCTCCCCATTTTACACTATTGCGAGATATATTACTTGTTTTTGTCGGCTGTTGGCAACTTGAGCGGATAGCATTAAAATTACAAACAAGCAATAGCGGATAATGATCGGACCAATATACATCGCTGTTAAGTACAGACGCACTTAATATGGCCGAACGCGCAGCGGTCGTCACCACACAATGATCGAGCCAGCTGTGGCTGCCACTCGCACCGCACACATACGTATAAGTGTCATTAGGTAAAAGTTCCGTATCTACGCACGACCAAGATTGTTCCGTGCAAAATGATAACAACTCTGAATGAAACAGCTTACCCGGATGAGCGTTGAAGTCCCCAAGTATAATCACTGAGTTAACATCGTTACCTTCAATAATGGCGTTTAGTTCACTTAAGCACTCCGTAAATTCACATAGATTATCATTTGAATTAGTAGGCATGTACACTGTTATCACCAACAAAGACCGGTTTTCACGCATAATTTTTATAGCAGCGATACGCACACTACTGCACGGAATAACGACCACCTTCGGGAACACAGCTGATCGCCACAATAGGGCCACACCCCCGTACGGTCTGCCGCGAAGCACACCCGTAGACAGGTCTACCGCCGACTTTCCAGTGAAGGCGAATGCACCATCAATGTTGCCCAGCATAGGGATATCGTGCTGCAATAGCCACGTTTCCTGCAGCGCAATGATGTCTGCTTGGTTACAAAGTCTTCTCACACATTCGATTGACCTCGAGATATTTTTACAATTAAACGATATTAGTTTGGTAGGTATATCTATTATGTTAGCTTAGTTTTATCAATATCCCGATATTCACGTACCACAGAGTTGTGAGAAAAGTCAACAAATCGACGAAACATCACTCCACTTGGCCAAAAATCATCCCTCAGAAATACGTTGAGCTTATTTTTGGGTACAAATATTTTATAAGCATTGTAGTCCTTCGCAATTTTCATATTCATTTTTTGAAGGTCAATGTCTATGTTTATTTTACTTGTAACGTATTTCTTAATGTCACTCGTGGATGTTTCCTTTGATACATTGTAGATATATATCGGAACCTTGACGTCGGCGGCCCTGAAGTTCGAAGTTATATCTACGTTACCCTTTCCAACTTTACCTTGGAAACGGTTTCTCAACCTCTTTCTTTGAACCAGTATAAAGCCGTCGTCCAAAGGTTGTGACCTAAACTCGCCTTCCGAGTCACTTAAAATTTGGGAAAAACTTTTTTGTGAGGAATCCTTTGTAGTTGAGGCAGCGGTGGCGGCGGGGGGCGCGCGTTCCGATGACGTGTTAGTGTCAGCTGTTTTGAGCGCTCCATCGGAATGTAAACTGTTGGGCTCCCGGCACGGAGTAGTTTTCAATGTACCCTCATCAGAAAAAGTTATGCGTTTTTTTGCAGGAGAGACTGTTGGACTTTTTCTGCGAGCTACTGGTGCATTACACAGAGGGGACAAACCCATGGGTCCGCTTTCATACTCAAAACTAGATAGCATGGAGGCAGCACCCCTTTTGGTATTGACATTTCGTTGGAAATTATTTACTATGGACGCGTTTTTTAGAGATTCTACCTCCACCCGCAGGTTCTTCATCTGTTCCAATGTAGCATATTCTTCGCAAATACGGTCTAAGTCACTTCTCATTTTTACAATATCCTTCAGTATCCTAGTTACATCTACATGGTCAAAAAGTACTGGAGGTAACTTCTGCAGGTCCCGTGCCACAAAAATAGGAATATCCTCAGGGTCAGTCTCTTTCAATAGGCATACTATATCGTCAATATTACGTATTGTTTTGCCTTGTTTTTTCCGTATCTTCTTTTGCTTTGTTGTCGTAACGGAATCGAACAACAAGTTTTTGGCTTTCAGAATATCATTTTCCGAGAAAGCACTGACACAGATTCGGCTTATACTTTCTTCATCCATCACATCTATCTTATTACAGATAAAAGCAAGTATTTCGTTGATCACCACATTACAACTAGCACATTTCACAACACCCGAAGACATTGTTTTACTCGATTGACTTTCCATCGCGGCAATCGAATAGCTCGACTGATTTCATTAATTCTTTTTTTGTCGTATTTGTTATTATCGGGAGATGGTTCTCTTATGACTTAAAAATTCTGAAAATCCTACGGGAACGGGAGAAAATGGGATTGCTCGTACGAAGTCGCGGGCTGAAGCTAGTAATTCAATAATTATTTAAAGTGTGAATTAAACAAGCTAGTCAGAAGACTATATTTCAATAAAACAAAAGTAGAACATAAAGGTTTCCACTCTTGAAAGTGGCTAGCTTTCCATGCCACAGACAATATAAACATAATTATACATAAAACCATGGGCATAACGTTTAATTAGACTGAATGCACGGCGCAGTGGCTGCAGCGCAACATATCACAGATTCGACTCCCGCACGAAACAACCATTTGTGTGATTTCCTACATATTATTTAATTGTTCGGAAGAACATGTACCCACGACACAGAAGAAAAATCTTATGACGTTAAAAAATAACTTCTTATACTAAAAAGTACTTCTTTAATTTGTTTTCAGGACTCCTTACCAGAAATGGATCTTTAGATTTAGAACCGCCTAGTGACAAAGTCGGTAGGAAGAAGGCATTCGACCTCCTTGCAGCGGCTGCGTTACCGGGTAAGAACAATTTTATATTTAAAAGGAAATCATTTCGGCTCCATATATTTTTGAGTCTTTGAGTCTGAACGCCCTTTCGTATTACCATTACAATACGGTAGTTTCCTAAATTTTATTTTAATGTCCGACTGGTAGATTATTTTAAAACATTACACACGTATTTTTTATTTTCTCACAAAATTAAATGTTTTCGTCGATATATTGATTTGAAATATCGTGTGACGTCACATCGCCAACCCGCAATGAGCATCGCCAACCCGCATTGAGCAAGCGTGATGATTAATGCTCAAACCTTCCCCGTGTGAGAAGAGGCTTTGCTCGGCAGTGGGCATTTATAGGCTGTTGATGACGTGACGTCACTGCGTGCTACATTTTACAGCACGTTGTGACGTAACGACCTCCCACTCCTACGGGAACGGGTCCGCTCAAACTGTTGTGGTTCTTTCCTCAAAAGCCCACTACTGAAAGAACTTGCACGGTTCTCACACATAATCTGTTAAACATATTGTCTGGACTTTAAAAGAAACAGACCTCTGAGTTTGTTTCGGCATTTCTTCTCAGCAGCTGTAGCCAAATGCCATTTAGCGCTTGTCTACATGTATAATAGAAAACCAAATTATATGGAATTGACGTAAATTTTGACACTTGTCAGTGTCATCCCCATACATTTAGTTTTCTACTCTCTCTGTAGACAAGCGCTAAAGTGGCGTTTGGCTAAAGGCACAGAGTAGTCAGTTAGGAAATGTCGTCCTCATCGTTCGCTTGATAAAATTGACGTGTAAAAGTGCTGCCTTGTAACCTATTTGCAAAAATAAATTCACTTGTTTCACTTGTTAAACTTAACGCCATTATATCTAAGTATTGTAGCTTTAAAAAGAAAATAAAAAAAATACGTGTCTAATATTTTTTCATTATCTAACTGACGGACTAATTAGATTTTTTAATTTTCATACCCTGGCAACTACCCAATTGCCTCAGATTCATTATTCTAGCAATATCGATCATTATGATATATATATGATATGAAATAGCCTAAAAAAGATGATCTCCTTGAAGTGAACATTGTTTTTGATCCCTATTTCGGAGTAACGAATCTTGTGTCCGTGCCCTGGGCAAAAATTATATATATATATATAAAAAAATTTGGTATACAGGCAGGCTGACTTAGGTGATTAAATTAAATGCTCTCATGACATAAAACAGGAATCATGATACGCGTGCGAAGTCGCCGCAACAGCTAGTAAATAATAAGTCATAGTTTTTCTTCTACTTACAGACAATAACAGGTTATTCTATTTTTTAACAGGCGCCTGTCCAGATGTAAGTGGCCGAGTACTATCCCTACCCACCCTGGGCAAGTTCTGTGAGACGAGACAAAATGAGATCAAGACTGAACAACAATTAAGAGATATTATACAGGTAAGAATACCAGAATCAACATCGTTATTACATGTGTCACTTACATACTTAACATCACGCCTTTTATCCCCGGAGGGGTAGGCAGAGGTGTACATTACGGCGCTTAATGATACTGTACAATGTATCTAACACCCACTTTTTACTGTTTATGGGTATGAGTCCCATGTAATTGTTATTTTATAATACCTCTAATTTAGGTCCTCTTATTTTGCCTTCAACATCGGCGTGCAAATATTAATGATTTCTTTCCTAATTATGTTACTGTGCCGTAACCGGGTTTCATTTTGAAACTGTACCCAACTATATAAAGGTCTCTGCAGACGTTGTCGTCCGTAATATCTATTAGATTATTATTAGTGTCGCGTCGCCGTCCCGTCCCGCCGCGCCGCGCCCGCTATGTGCAGAGACCTTAACACCTATTGGACACATGATATAATGCAATAAAAATTTGAATTTGATTATAACTTGGTTCGCCCATTATTGCAAGGTGGGAGATCAATGTAAAACGCAAAAAGGTCAGCTCAAACAAAGTTATTTTAAAACATGAATTGTTTTGTCGTGTGAGCGAAGTTACCGAAGGCCTCCAACCTTTCCTCAAAAGCCCACTACAGAAAGAACTGGCACGGTTCTCACACATAATCTGTTATACATATTGTCTGGACTTTAAAAGAGACAGACCTCTGAGTTTGTTTCGGCATTTTTTCTCAGAGTAGTCAGTTAGGAAACGTCAGCCTCATCGTTCGCTTGATAAAATTGACGTGTAAAAGTGGTGCCTTGTAGCCTATTTGCAGAAATAAATTCACTTGTTTCACTTGTTTCACTTGTTTCACTTGTTTCACTTGTTTCACTTGTTTCACTTGTTTCACTTGTTTCACTTGCCTAACAAACACTTGCAAGTAAAGGCCGGTATCGCAGCTGAACTTGTGGCTTCTGGGGTCTCGCAGGTGCTGATGAGCGGCACTAATTGCTTACCAACACATCTACAACCTGAACCACTGGACTATTTTTTTATAGCCCGAGCCAGTAAACGAGCTGACGGATCCCCTGATGGTAAGCAATCGGCGCCGCCCATGGACAGTCGAAACACCAAGGTGTTACAAGTGCATTACCGGCCTTTTGGGAATTGGGAATTTGAGGATTACGGAGGATTCGGGGATGCGGGAGATGGGGACTAGGGACGGGGACTAGGGTAATTGGGCCTCCGGTAACCTCACTCATACGACGAAACACAATGCAAGCGTTGTTTCACGTCAGTTTTCTGCTCGGCCGTGGTATCACTCCGGTCGAGCCGGCCCATTCGTGCCGAAGCATCGCTCTCCCACACTTACAACTATAAACGTCTTTCACGTAGAACAGTGTGGGAAATCAGAGTGCCAAGCACGAATAACTATCGCATTCGTAACGTAATGGGACGAGCGCGTTCGGCGCTCCGATTGGCCGGCTCATGTGAACCAACCAATCAGAACGCTTAACTCGCTCGATAGGTACTGTTACGATACGAATGCGATAGTTATTCGTGCTTGGCATTCAGGTGATCCGTCTACTCGTTTACCGGCTCACGCCATAAAAAAAATCGTTGAAAAAAAGGTAAACTTCTCATAGAGGAGACCTATTGCGCATCTAGAAGTAGACTGTCACATTCCGCGAAGAATGTAAAAGGTTATTGGGGCTCCGGCTCGACGTAGGAACGGGGTGGTTTTTAGTTAGTAAGAGTCTGACACTCCCTCTCGCCTCAGCCGGGCGGGAGCAGTCATTGGATGATCCCCCTCCCTCTTAAAAAACTGTCAGATGGTGTTAACGTTGAGTTCTATTTTGATAGCAAGTTTTTTTCAACTCTTTTATTTTGTTTCAGCGACATGAACCAGACCCTGGACTACGAGCAGACAACTGTCTGTCGTTTGAAGGTTTCGTCAGATTCCTGACAGACAAAGACAACTACGCCTTCGTGCCTGAACAGATGAGAGCGAATTTTTTGTCGTAAGTTGTTTTTTAAAGTCATCAAGGGCTGAAACACTCGCGACGCCACAGCGCTAAAATCGGCTGTTTGCGTTGCGGCGTTGCGGCGTCGTGAAAAAGAGCGTTTTTTTGTCGTTTGGTACGGTAACTAGTTCGTCGTGATTTTTTATTGTGGATAGACGTGTCTCTGCCATGGACATTATTTGTTATAAGCAATAACTTTTTCACGATGGTCGATTAGGAAGACATTACTCTGCTATGCTGGAACGAGCGCTGTCGATTCTAGCGGCGCGGCGCCGCAACGCCGTTATTTGTTTTGGCCCTAAGGCATAAGTCAAAATTGAAAAAGTCGATATATAAAAGTCACTAGTCGAAAAGTCCAGTAAAGCAAATCAAGTATCAAAAAGCCAACATTCACTAGGTTAAAACAAATAGTTAATATTCAAAAAACCTTTTTTTTTTCGTGAACAGCAATTCAATAAGTCAAAGGATCATTCGAAAAATATCAGAACTTGATCACAAAGTCAAGCATCATTAGTTCTAATATCAAAAAGTCGAGAGTAAATTATATTTTAAAAGTTACATTTAAAAGTCAACAGTCAAGAGCCAGTAGTCAAATATACAGTCAATTTAACAGTCCGAAAGTTAAAAATTACGATTCAGAAAGTAAACAGTCGAAAGTCAACACTCAACAGTCAAGTAATTTGACATTCAATTTTTGACTTAGTGGAAACAATAATTCTAATTTCTTTGACATAATTGTATTCTAACAACGACATTAGAATTAATTCGATTTAATGAACTTAATTTTATTATATTATTATAATTACGTTTATAACATACTAGCTTTTACCCGCGGCTTCGCTCGCGTCACAAAAGTATAAAAAGTAGCCTATGTGACATATACCAATACATACAGCGCCATCTATATCAATACTTTTGTTTTCCCTCGTGAATATCAAATTTTTCCGGGATAAAAAGTACCCTATTATTTAATCCAGACTTCTAACTTTACGTCTGCAAAAATTCAAAGCAATCGGTTTAGTAGTTACGGCGTGAAATCGGAACAAACAAACAAACTCACTTTCCGATATAATATTAGTAAGGATCTATGTATGCCAAGTGAAGGCAAAATACGGAGAAACTGTAAACTTTGTTAACACATATTATGTACCCATGTTTGCAAATGATTAAATGAATTTTAACTCGTCGAGTACCGGTTTTGTAGACACAGTTATAGAACAATAGGTTGCGGTCACCGGTGACCGCTTGGTGTTTGACAGTTTAATTTAAATTCAAAAAAGCCAACGATCAAAGGCTGCCGCGGAGAACCTAACGACTTACCGGGGCTCCGGCTCGAAGTGCAGGAGTAGGAACGGAGTGGTATTTAGTCAGTAAGAGTCTGACACTCCCTCCCGCCTCACCCAAGCGGGAAAATTCATTCGATGATTTCGCCATAAAGTGATAAAAAACCTAAGTCAACGTAATTATTCACAGAAAAACATCAACATCATCAGAAGAGGAGGAAGTACACAAATCTATATCCAAAGATATGACTGGACCACTATCACAGTACTACATAGCGAGCAGTCACAATACGTACCTGACTGGACACCAGCTGAAGGGGGAGTCGTCTGTAGAATTGTATAGCCAGGTAAGTCGATATTTCCTTAATTTTAGACAGTAAGTCATAATTTTTTTTATATATTTTACGCCTACACCGCATTAAGGTTACGATCTCCGGCCACCGTAAGCGCGGGCCTGCGGACGGCGAGCATACCCGTGGCTCCCCGTCCGACCAGAAACAGACCCGAGTGTACGGCGCGTCGCGTTCCGCGCGCGCCTCAAAGAGCCATCAGACCACCACAGATGGGGCCCAATACTGCTGATGCCGATTCGGAGTCGCGGAGAACCTAACGGGAACCGGGGCTCCGACTCGACGTGCAGGAGAAGGAACGGGGTGGTTTTTAGTCAGTAAGAGTCTGACACTCCCAGGCGCCGCTCCACCGCCGCGCCGCCACTCCCGCCTCACCCAGGCGGGAGCAGTCATTCGATGATTATCCACCCTTAAAAAAAAAAAAAAGACCGCATTAAGGTTAAAGGCCTTATTAGACCACCCAATTTCGAGGGAGCCTAATCCTAACTAAAAGTGGTGTAATAAGACTTAGGGAGTTTGTGTCCCGATTAAGGGCGATCGGGTCATTCCGCACCCAATCTGCTTAGGGATCTGCCTAGCTCCCTAAGCGCCCTGCAGATTGGGTAATGTAATAACGTTTAGGGCGGTTATGGAGCTACCGTTTCTTGATTTTGTATGTAAGGTGTCACCTAACTCAATAAGTGTTCAAATAGTTTTGCACCTACTCTGAGATAATTCCTTAAATTTCCCGGTTCAAGCACGCTTACTATTTGCGAATTTAAAACCTTTTCACGTATCCGCAAATACTCTGTCAACCGAAACTTTCTCTTTTAAAGTTATTGCGAGCATGGTTATCATTGCTACAGCAACTTTTTGAAGATTCAATACTGACGACGGTATAATGTAAAATGCGACACTATGTTTATCTCTCTAGACATTCACATATAAACTCAAACTCAAACTCAAAAGCATTTATTTCAATTAAACCATAATTTGGTACTTTTGAAACGTCAACAAATACAAAATAAATAATAGTCTGTCAGTCTGTCCGTCCGTGAAGCTAGGCGCTCGTTCCAAAATGTCGATTCGAGTGGAGAAGAACGAGCAAGAAACTCCATTCGTTACTCTTTTAAAAAAAGTCTGTTTTACATTGCTCTGATACATATTCCAATATTGTACACACATGTGAGAATAATGTAAAGACATACCTGATGCAACATACAAATGTTATATAAACAGAGCTAAGGTTATATGTAATATAAACAGAGTTAGGGCCCAAGTCGCAGAGAACGCGCGAAATAAGCGCCGTACTAACTAGGGTCGCCCACGCCCACCCTAAATGCAGGGCCCTTCATATCGGGTTGTGTAATAAGCGCTTAAACCGGCAGCGGTTTTCTACCTGTGTGAGTTTACGAAACGATAGACTAATACAAGCGGCTGCATTTGCGGTTTTTTTCTCGAGACTAGCTTTAAAAACGTGTAAAATGGTACGAAATAGGGTAGTTTTATAATTTTTATTTTAATGTCCGTCTGATAGATTATTTTAAAACATTAGACACGTATTTTTTCTTCACTCACAAAATTAAATACTTTCGACGATATATTAATTTGAAATAATTATCGTGTGACGTCACAGCGTGCTACAATTAGTAGCACGTTGTGACGTAACGACCTCCCACTCCTAAACTTAGCGCCATTTTATTTAAGTATTGTAACTTTATATGAGAAAATAAAAAATACGTGTCTAATATTTTTTCATTATCTAACTGACGAACTAATACAATGTTCTACCCTGGCTACTACCCTGCTTTGAAAATCAGGGGTGACCTCGGACTTTATAATAGTGGTGCGTGTATCCAGCAGCTGTAGCCAAATGCCATTTAGCGCTTGTCTACATGTAGAATAGAAAACTAAATTATATGGAATTGACGTAAATTTTGACACTTGTCAGTGTCATCCCCATACATTTTGATTTCTACTCTCTCTGTAGACAAGCGCTAAAGTGGCGTTTGGCTAAAGGCACTAAATAATTTAATATTACAGACAGATATTGCAATTTTATTTATCTGTTTACGTTTGACAATTTGAGTGGTAAAATAAAACACAATATTACATTGAAGACATTTAATAGTTCAAGTTAAAATACGGATACAGAATATACCTTTTACTAATTAGGTACTTGCCAACTAGTCAAATTCAATACTTTTTTCTAACTGTCAAAAACGATAGATTTCTATGAATTTTGTACGAGATTGTGTATTGTGACGTCACGTTTTTTTAGCGTCAAACAACATACTTATTTCTTTAAAATTTGCTAGAAAAATACTAAAGTTAAGTTGGTCATAAAATCAATTAATGAAAGTGTGATTATGTTTTAATATTTTATTGTATTGAACAGTCGAAATAATTTATTTTTGATTAAGGAAAGTACCCAATTTGCTAACAAATACACGGTTTAGTATGCAGTTAAATGTTAGTAATAACTATAATGACATATAAGTACTAAATTATATAATGTATACAACTTATTCATCTTACTTTACGGGCGCCAGTCAAGCTCGAAATTGATCGGCCATGCTCGTAAATGGTCTAAGCAAGCTAAGTATTAGAAAATTATTGAACTTTCTACTGAATATAATAATGATTACATAGACTATAGCAATTTTCTAGAAAAAATACATGAATATACAGACAGACTATTAATTAAATATAGTATGTTTATATGGATGTACAGTAAGATTATTTATATAGGTACATAGTTAAAACATCTTCAATACAATTTTTTATTACATAAATGTGGAACTTATAGAGTTTTAAGAATAATTGTCTAGCATTCTTTGAGAAATGGTTAGACAAATAAGTAGAACCTTATGTAGCGATGAATTGCGAAGCCATTTGAAATTTTGATATAAGCTTTTTACAGTTTATTAATTGAATTTGACTGCCTCGTTGGCCGAGTGGTCACAAGTGCGACTGTCGGGCAAGGGGTCTTGAGTTCGATTCCCAGGTCGGGCATTACTGGGTTTTTTTCAAAAAATCTCAGTACTAAGTCTGGAAATGTGTCCGGTATATGGCAATAAGCTCACCCCAATAACATAAATAGTGAAAAGTGGGTGTTACATTGTAAAGTGGTATAAAGTGCACCTCTGCATACCTCTTCGGGGATAAAAGGCGTGATGATGTTGTGTTATGTTTAATTGAATTTGATCTTTATAGTAGGGGAGCCCATGATGCTAAATTGGGATTTACTTGAGCGTCCTTGGGACCTACTGGATTTTGAAGATATGCTGATAGAAAGAAGAAATGGTTTAGTGACAATTTCTTCCACCAGTGGGGGAAGGGGGAATCTACAGATCTTTGAAATTGTTAAGCGTAACTTTTGTTCTAGTGGTCGAGCGTGTCAGATATTGATAATGTACATGCTCCATGTGTATTTAATAATAAAAAACTCTTAATCTGCCAGTTTGCATGGTGGGGTTGAATGTTCTGGAGAGTACAAACGAGAACCCTTCAAAATCCCCCCACTCTTGTAAATCAAGTTGGAATGGGCAGATTTTTTAAACGCACTTCCTTTAGCACGGTATTGACCTACCTTCCCTTAATCTGACGAAACTGACTTTATTTAGTCAGACTTTTTTTTTAATTTTCAGTCCCCCCCTTCTAATCAGATCGGATATATGTTGGGTATATTCAACATGACACTAGGTTTTCCCCATAAGTTAATCTGACGCGCTCGAGTAACTACCGAAATCCCTTCATGGGCTCCCCTACTATTATGTTCGTGCCCGGGCCACGGTAATAAGCTGAGCCCCGGCCTTTTGCGTTGCGACGCACCATGAGCTTTTCGTGTGTGCCTGTATTTTTGTCTACGTGTGTGTCGTGGCGTAACAAATAGTTTTTATTTCTATCTTTCTTCCTTCCATATCTTTAGCTTACAGGTGCTGGTGTAAGCAAAATTTGAGTTGTAGCAAAATACAACAAAAAAATTGTAAAATCGGTCAATTACGCCTCCCTAGTCTCCTCAATAATCCTCAAATTCCTAATCCCTAGAAGGTCGGTAACCCTCTGGTGTTCTGGGCGTCCATGAGCGACGCCGATTGCTTACAATCAGGTGATTCGTCTGCTCTTTTAAACTGTCAAACACCAAGCGGTCACCGGTGACCGCAACCTATTGTTCTATAATTGTGTCTACAAAACCGGTACTCGACGAGTTAAAGGCTTATCCCATAAAAAAAATGCGATTAACCAAGGCAATCATATATTTTACTACCATGACACTCCGTAGTATAGTTTCAAAGATCTAAGCACACATAGGGTCAGAGAGAAACGCGACTTTGCTTTAAACTATGCTCTTAAACTTTTAAGTGTGGGAGAGTCATGCTTCGGCACGAATGGGCCGGCTCGACCGGAGTGATACCACGGCCGAACAGAAAACCTATGTGAAACAACGCTTGCGTTGTGTTTCGTCGTGCGAGTGAGGTTACCGGAGGCCCAATTACTCCCATCCCAGTCTCCCTAATCCCTGAATCTCCAATAATCTTTAAATTTCGGAATCCCAAAAGGCAGGTAACGCACTTGTAACGCCTCTGTTGTTTCGGGTCTCCATGTCCACGTTTACAAAGTTATACCATAAAAAAATCGTGTTTTAACCCTATAGTCAACTCCAATTAAAAAAACTGTCGATACGGCATTTTTAATGATTTTCCAAATAGAATATTTATTCATCATCGCTATCATAAGATTCTACGGGCCAATGTTAATGTGTGTTTCTTCTATACCAAAATCTTGCACGGTAATCGTCACTGCATGTCAAAAACGCTGGTGCAGTGCCTGAATGCACTATAAACCTGTAACGGAATTGCTCGGATTGGTGATTTGTTACTTGGATCGGTGATTAAAATTGCTTGAGTTGGATATTAAGTATACTTTTTGACTTTGGCATTATAATTTGTTCTGTTATAATTTGGTTTTGATTTGAATTAAATATATTAAGTTGTTCACATAAAAGTTAGTTAATTACAAATAACTAACACTGATAAACGGCCAAAAATTCAATCTTCTCGATACTTAAATCTAATAACAAAGGACGATTAATAAAAAAAAAATGGCATTTACTCAAACTGGTGATTAACTTATATAAATTACTCAAAGTGGTGATTACCAACGAACACTCACCTGACAGCTCCATTATGCCCCAGAGACATTAGTTGGCATCTACTGGCACTACGGGAATGCCAAGTGCAGAGTGAAGTGGTAGCTTCATCGGGGAACATTACATAATCTTCTGTGTGATTAAATACGGCCTGAGCGTGGTGTTCTTGCTTGCCTTGGGGATTAAAAAAGGGTAAATTAGTGAAAAGTGTGATTAATTTATACTAAAATTATAGTTTTTTTACGTTTATAGGCATCACAAAATGTACCTCTATTTTGTAATCTTACCTGTGGTTCCCGCGCCGGTATATTGAATCAAACATCGGCTACTGGCTAACTCCCAGAGTTTTATAGACGAATCCAGGCCAGATGTTAGCAGATACTGAAAAAAAGTTTAAAATATAAATAAAAAAATATATAGAGAGGAATCTATGTGTATGTAACACCTATCACTATTTATGTTATGAGTCCCATGTAATAGAGGGTGAGCCTATTGCCATATACCGGGCACAATTCTAGCCTTCCGTGCTATCACTGAGAATTTTTTTAAAACACAGTAGAACTTTGCCCAACCCGGGTATCGAACCCGAGACCCCATGCCCGGCAGTCGCACTTGCGACCACTCGGCCAACGAGGCAGCCTCTCTAGCTTTACTAGGTATATTTTGGTGTTACATTGTTCTCTCTCGCACAATCAAACCAATAAAACTGTGTAACTGGAGAATTGTATAGTGAAACTGATTGAAAAAGAGTAACCTATGGAGTTTCTTGCTCGTTCTTCTCCATAGGAATCTACACCTTGGAATGAGCAAATAGCTTCACTTTTAAATTTCTAATGCTGACGTTCAAAAGTGCCTTCCTGGTCTAATTGAAATAAATTAGTTTTGACTTTGATTTGAGTGTAGGTATAGTATTTCTTACCTTGCTATTCCTAGTAAACGCGACGGAACAAACTTCAGCGCCATCGTGTGCATTTATGAAAGTGTTGAAACATCTGTTGGACACTGTGTCCCACAGTTTCACGCATCCGTCAGCGCTACCGCTCGCGAAGTACTTGCCGTTTGGCGAAAATCTGATGGTAAAAGATAACAGTATCATTTATGTAATAGTAGATTGAAGTCGTGGTGACTGAGGTCTTCTTTTAAGGGGAGAAAATCATCGAATGATTGCTCCCGCCCGGGTGAGGAGGGAGGGAGTGTCAGACTCTTACTGATTAAAAACCACCCCGTTCCTTCTCCTGCACTTCGAGTGATGGGCCAGCTCGACCGGAGTGATACCGGGGTCCAGTAAACCGGCGTAAAACAATACTTGCGTTGTGTTTCACCGTATGAGTGAGGTTACCGGAAGCCCAATTACCCCATCCCCCCTTCCCAATCTCCCCAATCCCTGAATCACTAACAACCCTCAAATTCCTGATTAGGAATTACAAGGGAATCCCCTAAAGACCGGTAACGCACTTGTAATGCCTCTGGTGTTCCGGGTGTTCATAGGCGACGCCAATTGCTTACCATCAGGTGTTCCGTCTGCTCGTTTACCGGCTAATTCCATAAAATATATAATACTAGCGAGCCGCCCCGGCTTCGCACGGGTGCAATATGCATGTATTATACATATAAACCTTCCTTAAGAATCACTCTATGTATAAAAAAATCGCATCAAAATCCGTTGCGTAGTTTTAAAGATCTAAGCATACGTAGGGACAGACAGACGGCGGATAGCGACTTTGTTTTATACTATACTAGCTTTCTGTCCGCGACTTCGTACGCGCATTCCCATTTTCCCCCCGTTCCCGTTCGTGAATTTCGGTAAAATGTAAAAAATGGTTGCCTGTAAAGTCGTTTTTACGGGCGAAGATTTTACGTGACAACGTCTTTTTCTCGGTAGAATATTTATTGATATGAATATAATTAAATTGCACAATAGGAACAAGGAATTGAATGAACTAGTGCTGCGCGCGCGGCAGACCGATCATAGTTGAGTGGGAGAGAGACGCAAGGCATTCGGCGGGCCTCTCTCTCGTTCGGTGACTCATCGTAACGTTACCGAGCGTTACACTTTTTCATAAGTGACTCCCAGCCGCAACCTAATTTAAGACGTTGTCACGTCAAAAAATA